ACTCCTACTCCTACTACTACTACTACTACCACCACTACTACTACCACTACCACTACCACTACCACTACCCCACTACCACCACTACCACCACTACGACTACGACTACTACTACTACTACTACCACCACTACCAGTACCACTACCACTACCACTGCTAGTACTACTCTTGCAACTGCGATTAGTACTACTACGACCTGGCTAGCCTGCGGGCCACTCGCGCAGACATCCTGATGGGCCTCGGTAGTTATGGTTTGTCGGCATTGCGTCAGGCAGTCATTCAAGTAGCATTCCGCCCTGGCCCATCGACCGAACTTTGCGCAGAATACTGAGACACGCTGAGTGCCTGATCTCCACACCCTGGGCCCTAAACCCGAAAGCGATAATGTGGTTGGGCCCCCACACAGGCAACCCTCCTCAACATTAATTCGGAGTATAGCTGTCCCGCAGCAACCACTACTCTCCACACTCTTGACGCAACCAAAACAAATCCCACAGATGCAAAAAATCCCACACAAATTCTGCACCCATTCTGATACTGTTTTACAGGGTTTGTGTAGGATGTTAATCTGTCACGCTGTATGTTGTGCTACAGTTACAGGGGCTTAGGGGTCGATCGTAAGGCAGGGTTCCAGTAACGGTGTTGGCGAGATTTGGCTTCTTGTCAAAGGCCAGGCAGAGAGAGGGCGTCAGGGTTTAGGGTCACTTGGTTCAGTATTTCGTTGCCTGTTAGGGATGAATCTATGCATAAACGAATTTGGCATATATCCTTTAACTTACATAATGCTTTCCGCTTGTTCGGTCCAGGGTTCGGGTTTAGTGCCGACAGGCTAGTGCTCAGATTCATTTCGGACTCTGACAGTTCTATGATTTCCCTAAATCTGATCTTGTAGTGTTCTTTGACCACCTTGGGTGGCCAACTTTTCAATCTGTTTTTTTAAACGAAGAGACATCCAAAGCAAGCATGTGCGGCAACATGCGGAGGTTCATACACCCTTGCCATCCTTAACACTCGAAGCCCTAAGCCTCCACCGCCCATTCTAAGCGGTTGTTGCCTTATTGTGGCAACTCTACGTCAACTCCTGCAGTTCTCACCCTATTGAGGCTGGAACCAGCTTGCCTGCGAAACGTTGAGGGAACAGACTTTGCAGGTTTGGCTGCGTCTTTAGGAAGTAGTCGGTATTGCATGTTGCGCTAGGGTTCCAGATGTCACATAAGTATGTTTCAAACCCTAAACCCTAACCCGTATTACTAGGTCAACCCCTCAACCCTAAATCCTAAACCCTAAACCCCAATAGCCCCAGTATTTCGGTAACTACGGAGCCCTAGGGTCGGGTCATGGGCAAATGCATGGCTAAGGGTTTGTCTTCGACATGAGCTAGGGTCCCCTCGGCAATATTTGCAACTTAGGGTCTACGGGTTGTGCGCGCAGGATGGGATGGTGGTGTCGGTCTGTGTGAGGGTGCGTGAGTGAGACAATCGAGGCACGGAAATGCAAACCCTGACCTCTAAACTCTAAACCCCAAACCCTAATTCCCCCACACCCTAAACTTTCCCTGAACCCTCAACCCTAAAAAATAAAACTGTTGCTCCAAACCCTGAACCCCCTGAAACTGAAGGTATGCAGAGCTTCCAAAGGGCGTCACTCCGCCCATGCTGCCGACGCTTCCCTGAGGGCAGACACTGGCTTAGGGTTTAGAGGGTTTAGGGTTTAGGGGGTTTAGGGTTTAGGGTTTAGGGTTAGGTACCTAGTTTTATGAATAGGACCTGTTGTATAGAAATGTAGGTACCTAAAAAAGAGGTAGAGCATTAGGTGTAGGGATAGTGGCTGCTAGGATGCAAGAATGTTTCAAGTCCACCACCCATCGGTTCTTCGGGCTCCTCAACCCTAAGCCCTAAAGCCTCAACCCCTAAACCCTGAACCCTAAACCCTCGTCCCTAAACCCTGAAAGGCCTAAACCCCCAGCAGCCCTACGCCCTCGAGGCTGCAGTGACATGTATAAATGTGGGATCCTGGCACCTATTCTTAGAGGCCCAGGGGCCTTAGTAAGTATGTTATACGTATGTTAAATGGAGTGACACCCAATGCCCTAAACCCTATGAAAAAACTTCAGGAGCCCGTATACTTAGAGGCCCAGGGGACTTAGTAAGTATGTTATAAGTAGAGCTATATGTACTTTAAATATGGAGTGACGCCCAATTATAGCCCTACTTATCACCGACTTACTAAGTCCCCCGGGCCTCCAAGCAGTAGGCCAGACCGCATCAGCCGCTAGTAGAGCTCGGCCCGCACTAGGTTGCGTGGAGCAAAACGAACATGGGGCGCTGCTTAAAGCTTGGGGCGTTTAGGATTTAAGGTTTCGAGTTTGGGTTGTTGAGGGTTCGGGATCTTTTAGGGTGTTCCTTTCTGAAGTACACACCCCAAAAGAACCCAAACCCTAAATCTTAAGCCCTAAACCATCTCAGCACCTCTAGTCCAAAAACAGACAGACTGGCCTGACAGTTCCTGTTGAAGGAGCGGTTTTCGGTTTAGGGTTTCGGGTTGATGGAGTTCCTCAAGATGGTTTTACGGTATAGCTAGACCAAGTTCCCCGGTGGTACCCTTTTGTCAGTTTCGTTGGCTCCCCTTGAAAGCTGAACAGTGGGAAGATGGTTTCCTGCTTCTTTTAAGGGACTATGTAAGTCCTTAACAGTGCAGGTTCCTTGGGTCCAGGTAGGGTTGAGGATGCCAAGTTGAGTTCACTTCCGCCTTCCGCTCGTGTTTCGTGCACAGCGCTCAACCCCAACCGAATGTCGTGTCGATCTATGTGCCGGGAAGTTACAGACTGACGACATTGGTTTTGCACAGTACCGGATGTTCGGTAAATCAGGGTCCGTACGAAATGCCGCAAACAATACGCCAATCAGCCAGTTTTACACAGGGGGCCTCAGTTCGATTCGAGAACATATGATATAGCCCTCTAGGACGGAAGGCTCGGGGGTGTCTGCGGGAATCTGAAAATCCAGTGTAAGCATCTTCGCCAGCTGGAATGGTAGCAACCCTAAACCTTAAACCCCTGAATAAACCCTAGAACACTAAAGCCCTAAAGGCCCAAACCTAACAAGAAGGTAGAACCTTTGAGGCCTAAGCTCACTCCCGCAAGCTTCTCTTTGCGGCTCGCCTACGAACTGATTCTACCTATAGTCTCCATTGTAGTGCATTTTTATGGTTACCGTTTAGGATCCTTAAAATAAATTTAGGTAAACCAAAAACAGGAACTACAACGGAGACTGTAGGTAACGATGATGTACCTGCCAGAACAGCAAATGTTCAGCACGCGACTTTCGGCTCACAGACGTTTCGCGCTGACTAGATCAATGCACACTAAAAGTCTGGACGAGTTCTTACTATACCAGCTCTGACATCACAAGCTGCCAAGCGCATAGAGACTCTATAGACGGCAGTTTAACTTGCCAGCTTTAGATGCTTGCGTGCCCCTGGCGGTACTCCGCCTTCTGAACCTCTCCTTGACATTTAAAATTTAGACAGATGGCCACCCTGCGTGGATGGTGTCAGCGCAAGCGCATGCTGGTGCTTGCCGCACTGGCAGTTGCAGGAGTCTTGGGTGGAGTCCTCTGGACTAGAGACACGAGCGCATCGTTTCAGGGGTTCCATGCCTGTATGGCCCCTTACTTTGCTTTCTCGCGCCGCTTCATGTAGAACTTAGCTCGAAGACTGTGGCCTGGGAAAGGCTGCCCCCAAGGCAGGTAGCTATTCAGTCCATTCTGGAAGCTGAGAAAGCTTTTGCAAGCTCGGAGAAGTTGTCTTCCATGCTGCTCCATGTGATATATGGCACATTCCTGCTGCCCTTCATGCAGACTCATCCCAGTGCAAAGTTGCTTGAGGTAGGTTCTGGCTGCAATCAGGATTATGGCCCCGGGGCACGCAAGCCTCTATGGAAGAAGCTGTTTCCAACTGCTGCCTTCTGGGAAGCAAGTCTTAGTACCACCTGTGAAGGCGAGACAAAGCACTCCACTCTTCCAAGTTTATTAACACTTTCAGTTGTTGGTTGAAGGTTTTTTAGTCGTGCCAACTGTAGTTTTGAAGCTTGTGCTCCCGGTCTGTCTTGAATCTTCTAAGGCAAGTGGGGCTACAGAAGTGGTTGGATTCCATGGTCGGGGATCTCCATGTAGTTATCCATTCTCAGAACCATCATCAGCAGACACCTGCATGGACAGTTTTTGACTCGCTGTGGCCTCGGTTGAGGCCAGGCGGCATGTATTTTATAGAAGCTTTCAATGACCGCGAGGCTGGCATTTCCAACAGACTTGCGCAATGGATTGATCAGCTGTTAATCTGGGCACCTTCTCCAAGTGGCGCCCATGCCCACCCAATGCCAAGCGGCCTCGAGTCCATCTACTGTCAGCGGCAGGCGTGCATGATCCGGAAGCAAGTGTGCCGCCGTGACTTAAGTGACAGCGGCAATTTTGTCGCTCACACGGTCTATTCCTTTGAGCAAGCAGCGCGCGAAATGCGCCAGCAGACCGATAAGACAACAACTCACAAGTATCAGGTGATGTTTGGTACTTTCCTACTTCCCTATCTGCAATCTTCCCCTCAAGCCAAGATGCTCGAAATTGGCCTTGGCTGTGGTATGGTATCCGGCACGGGTGCAAGTGCAAGGCTATGGCTAAAGTTGTTTCCCAGCCTAGATCTGTGGGAGGCAGAGTATCAAGCAACCTGCGTGGACTATGAACGCAAGGTGGGACGGCTCGACGGTTTCAGAACTGTGACAGGAGACCAGGGTGATGCAGCCACTCTGCAAGAATGGCTGATCACCACTGGTGGCAATTTCGACATCATCATTGATGACGGCAGTCACCACAACAAGCACGTCAAGGTCCCCTAAAGCCTAAACCCTAAGCCCTACACCCTAAACCCCAAACCCTAAGTCCCGAAGCCCTATCGACCCGAAGCCCCATCTACCCAGAACCCTTATAGATCCCGTTATAGAGCCCTTATAACTAGCGGAGCCCTTTATAACTGGAGGAGCCCCTTAAATAAAGGCCAGCTTCGAGGGTCTTTGGCCTGCCGTCCGACCTGGTGGCCTCTACTTCCTGGAGGACCCTAAACTCCCTAAGCCCTATAAACCCCTAAACTCCTAAACCCCTAAACCCTAAACCTCTAAACCCTACACCCCTAAACCCCTAAACCCCAAACCCTGAACCTCTAAACCCTACACCCCTAAACCCCTAAACCCTAAACCCTGAACCTCTAAACCCCAATCCCCCTAAACCCCTAATACCCAAAACCCCTAATACCCCTAGTACCCCAAACCCCTAAACCCTAAACCCACTTCCTGGAGGACCTGCAGGTTGGCAGGGAAGCGGAGTCTCTTAGATAGCCAATTGGAGAACTCTTTCAGCTTTTTGGGTTTGGGGTTTAGGGTTTTGGGTTTTGGGTTTATATAACCAGTTCTATATCTATGTGTATATATATATACACATATATAGGTCTGTCTTCACGTTTGAACATGTTGTGGCCGGGTTATTGAAGAAGAGAGGTATGCAGATGGTCCGGCGACATCTGAAATTATGCAGTCCTGGGTCCAGCAGATGGTAAATCCTGCCAACGCCTCCGGACGATTTCCTCTTCCTCCGGATGTCGAGTCGGTCTACTGCCAGTGGGAGGCCTGCGTGGTCCGCAAAGCTGGTGGCTTCTGAGGCAGTGACCCAACAAAACCTCTTTGGGATACTTCGATACGGTGAAGGTGGCTTTATTCTGACATCTTGTTTTACTTCGTAGCTGAGTAGGTAACCTCTAAACTCTTCTACCAGAATTGAAAAGGTTAACGGGTTTTCGGCTAGGGTACCCAGCCCTTAAGCCTTAAAGTTCGTGTTGTTTTGCAGCCAGGAGCTTGTATTGTGTAGTGTTCAGGACTCTGACAGCTGTCCTTACGGTCTTTCGTGCACTCATTCAGGGTTTAGGGTTTAGGGCAAATCCTTATGTGCTTCACATTCTTGATCTAGTATTGGATGCCGTCTGCTCTGGTATGTCATGGTGTGTTATTTTCTAAAACGTCTTGAGGAAGGCAGGCTTTTCCAGGCCGCTTGTCGTGAAGTAGCCAGCGCGTCGAATCGAAAACCCTAAACCCTAAACGCTAAACGCTTACCCCTAAGCCCCTAAACCCCGAACCCCTAAACCCCTAAACCCCTAAACCCTAAACCCTAAGCCTTTCTCGCTGAAGTCTAATGGCAGTTCAGAGGATGCAGGCTCTGCGGCCGTATTCTCTTCGGTTAGATCAACCTTAGTCGTTTTATTTTAACCTCAATGCCTGCGATGGTCGTTTTTGGCGAGATGTCGACTTTGCAATCGTTCTTCTTTTCTTGCTATCTTTCAGCTTTGCCGGTTTTTTTTTTTCCGGTGTAGCGTCGCGGGGGCCGACGAACACCAATGTGCATCTTGCATTGGAGGTTTCATGATTTCGAGGGGTGTGGGTTAAACCCTAAACCCCACACCCCTAAACCTTAAACCCGGGACCCTAAACCCCTAAACCCTACACCCTAAAGTACCCGAGAGAGAGCGACGGATTAACCCAATTTCTCAGGTTCCCCCCTTGGGGTACCCTCAAAAGGAACCAGGAACCTAAAAACATCCCTTCATAGATCCCTCTAAAGGAGCCCTTCAAGGAACCCGGTTTAGGGTTCGGGGTTGGGGTTTAGGGTTTAGAGTTTAGGGTGAAATTTCCCCAGCCTTCGTGCCCTGAAGGAGACTGGCCAGGGCCCACGCTCGGGCACGAAGAAGAGCGGTATGAATGGGCAATTTTCTAAAATAGGATCCGTTCGGTGTTGTTTGTTTATACGGGTGCCCTACTCTAAAGTAAGGTCTCTTGTGGGAGGTCCTTTTTTATGAGGGTGCCGTACTGGTGACCTAAAATGGCACCCTAATTTGGAGAACTGCTCATATGATTCCCGAGAAAATGGTCTCCAGGAGTCTGGAAATGGCCAGGTTTGCCATTGAGGCATTTAGGATTCGGCGTCCCCACAGGCCCTCACTAAAATGCAATAGTGCAATCTATCGTGTGGAAGTATAGCTTACAGCATAAGGTAGTCTTGAGATTCAGGCTGGGGTTTAGGCTACGTACTAGCGACAAGATCGACCACATATTCTTGTAGTTTCTATATACAGTTACACCGTACTATATGACTATCTCATTTACATCATGTTTCAAAGTACTATGTACAGATGTTTATATATATATATATACATATGTAATATTACACAGAGAGAGACATCTATGTATACATATATATATATATGTATATAGATAGATAGATAGATAGATAGATAGATAGATAGAGAGATAGAGAGATAGATTGATTGATTGCCCAAGGGGTCGAGAGATTGAAGCCAAGGTACATGTAATATTCATCAGAGAACAGGCTTCTTGATGCTTGGGATCCCATGGCCTCGCAGTCTTTTGGGATTAGGGTTTAGGGCTTAGGGTTTAGGGTTTCATGGCCTCGCAGTATTTTGGGGGTATCCTACTTCCCAAGTCCCCTAAGCATTCAAAGTCGTGTGCCAAAGAGTTAGAACAGGGTTTGGGCCTTAAGAGTAACCTGTGACCCCTAACCCTACAAAAAATAGGTTATGACCCCTCCCAACGGTGGGTTTTTGGATCCCCAGGTAGAAATAATGAGAATAGATGAGACTAGGGTTTAGGGGATTCTAATGACCTTAAGGGTCCAAAGGACCTAAGAGTTGGGGAGGTCCTTTCAGAGTTCCACAAGAGATCTACAATCTATAGGGATTTGTGGGGTTGGAGTTTAGGGTTTAGGGTTTAGGGTTTAGGTCAATCTATAGGGATTTGTGAGGTTGGAAGGGGGGTTGAGGGTCCAAGAAACCTAATAACCATGTACTTGGGTTACGGATAGTGGATTTGAAGGTTAGCAGAAGAGTATATGATGATTAGGTACTTGGACGGAGCCATATAGAACCATTAAAGGAACCCTAAACCACTAGGTACTTGGACCCTTAGAGTAGGGATTCTCCGAGGCTGACGGTCGATAGGGGAGGGCCACGCCGTGTGAGGAACTGCCAGGATCGATTCTGCCATTCCGGTGTCAGGGTTTGGGGTTTTGGGCTTTAGGGTATTAATGTTTGGGGTTTAGGGTTTAGGCTTTAGGGTATTAGAAGCTGAGCTTAATGCACGACTAACTGGCCCTGAACGATTCGGTGTCCTTCACCCTGGCTTTTTGTGAACATGGGCTTTGAGCTAGTGACTATTTCAGGGTCTTTCTGGGCTTATCCGCAAGCAAAAAGACTAGCAAGAGTTAATTACTCTGTTGCCAAGTTGACGTTGAGATTCACAGCACCTTGATGCCGGCCGCCGTCAGCTGAAAACCAGCCATAGCAAAACACAGGCACTCAATTCGAAGCCTAAACTCAAAGGGTCCTAAGTATGTATATGGTAGAACCTGAGCCCCTCCTTTTGCCACCTCAGTAGCGAAACCCTCCGACTGATGATAGTGCCTTCGTCAGGGTGCATAATATTCTATACCCTATAGACCCCTAGCTCTAGCCTCAAGCAAACCCGAAACCCTATACTATCGGCCCTACACCCTGTACCGTAGACCCTAAACCCTTCTGTGGGGAATTTTAGGGCATCCGGTATCATGATTATTCAGACCCCAACAGAATGCACCAAGCATGTTCTGCACAAATTCAAGCTCGAAATCATTCCCCGAGAATTCAAGCACCCACAAATCATATGCTCCCCAAACTACGCTCCGGTTCTTAGTGGGGAATGGGGGAATGGATCCCTATGATAGTCCCTTAAGGTCCCCTATAGTAGCCCCAATAACCCATTCCCCCATTCCCTACTAAGAACCAGAGAGACTACTAGCCTATACTATTATTCTGAACCCCCCACCGTAAAGATGCAAAACGCCTTTTCACGAAGTCACCGCTGCCCGACCATTCAAAGAGTCCCGTCACGCAACCCTAAGCCCTAAACCCTAAACCCTATAAACCCTAAACCCTCAACCATGTCGTGGCTCCCTTTGGAGCGCACGGGGCTGGATGAGCTGCTCTTCAGGCCTTTCTCGGGTTAAGGGTTTACGGTTTAGGGTTTAGGGTTTAGGGTTCAGGATTTAAGGTTTAGGGTTTAGGGTTTAGGGTCGGGATTGGAAAGGTGTAGACTTGGCATTAGCAGCATTAGCATCACTTTGGGGAAGCAACATACCGTATTGACATGACTTGGCTTAGGTTTGATGCGATGTGTTATACAAGCATTGTGATCTTCTATTTTATATTGATATTACTTCGCTATGATATGTATATTGAGGTCAAACAAACTATTACATCAATAGTAAATCCAGTTTTGGTAATACTGCAAGATATGTTACCAGTCACTCAAACGTTATATAACAAAGACTGAAAATTGCTTCGAAGCCCACTTGTACGTAAAGACTTGGGCCTCGAGCACCCCCTCCCCGCCGCCCCCACGCCTCGCGCGCTCCCCGCAGCCCCGGCACCCCCCTGCACCCCACTCAACCCACGTCCGCCAGGCCAATAAAAAAAGAGCATCAAAAAACAAAACTAAAAAATTCTCCACCGATACAGAAATCCTACATTCTGCTATATACGAAGGGACCTTAAACCCTGAATCCTAAACCAAACCCTAAGCCTTAAATCCTAAACTCTAGGCCCTAAACCCTACGCCCGAAATCCTACACCCTAAACCCTAAATCCTCAACCCTAAATCCTCTTCCCCAAACCGTAAACCCTCAGGCCCGAACCCTAAACCCCCAACCCACATAGGTACTTAATTAGGACCCTTCGGGCTTCCGGAGTTGCAAGGGAGGCACTCACCTTTGCCCTTTCGCTCTTGTCTTCGTAACTCTGAGGTTTTCAGGGGTTACGGCTAGGGCTCCTTCATCGGATGCATATATACATACATATATATATATATAAGAGAGCGAGAGAGAGAGAGAGAGAGAGAGAGAGAGAATAGTAGTCAAAGTTATATATATATATACATATAAGATCATCCCCAACCGGAAACCGCAAGCTCTACACCGGAGGAAATCGAGAAATTGCTGCATCGAGTATTTGCGGTGTAGGAGGCGTTTCTTCGCTCAAGATGGTTGAACACACGTTCGATTTAACATGTCGGGACAGTCTTCGAAGGAGTCCAGCGCCCTTCTACTATTGATTCCACATACGTGTATATGTATGTACATATATATATATACAAACAAACAAACAAACATACATACATACATACATACATACATACATACATACATACACGCATACATGCACATATATGTAGGTATATACATATATATATATAAATGTATATGCATATATATATATATGTGTAAGTATACATACACCTGACTCTATATATATATATATATGCATGTTTATAATTTAAATAAGTATATATATATATACACATACATACATATTATAGTGTGTGTGTATATATATACATATGCAAATACTCATGTACATGTATATGTATATGTATATGTATAAGTATATGTATATATGTATATGTATAGGTATATGTATAGGTATATGTATATATATATATACATATACTTATATTTATATGGTACCCTCTGAAGCCCCACGCCTCAGATTTGCAGAAGCTCAGATTCGTAGATTCGCAGATTGACAGATTCGCAGATGTCTGTAGATTTGCAGATCAGAT